CCACAACTGCTGACCCCACGTGCCACACTACTGAAGCCTGCGCACCTAGAGCCCATGCTCCACAACAAGAGAAGCCACCGCAATGAGAAGCCTGCGCACCGCAATGAAGAGTAGCCCCCACTTGCCACAACTAGAGAAAGCCCGTGCGCAGCAACGAAGACCCAATGCAGCCAAAAATAAATCAATCAATTTATAAGTGGAAAAACAGCCAAAATTTGAATAAAATGTACGGATTAGTTAATAGTATTATACCAATGTTCCTTTCCTGGCTTTGGTAATTATAAATTATACTATGGTTATATATTTTTTAATGATGCTTTTGCTTATTGATACTAGACTACCCGCCTAAGTAAAGACTCTGATTTTAGTATAAGTCCCTTTACTAACAATCGGCATGAAACAGCATCATACTTAAAATCTAAACCCTTTAAAATCAGGTACTGAAATTCACTTAAGGAACTTAAGGGCAGTGTTAAAAAGGGCCAGGTTTGGGGCTTCCCTGGTGGCGCAGTGGTTGAGAGTCCGCCTGCCGATGCAGGGGACACGGGTTCGTGCCCCGGTCTGGGAAGATCCCACATGCCGTGGAGCGGCTGGGCCCGTGAGCCATGGCAGCTGAGCCTGCACGTCCGGAGCCTGTGCTCCGCAATGGGAGAGGCCACAACAGTGAGAGGCCCGCGTACCGGGAAAAAGGGAAAAAAAAAAAAAAAAAAAAAAAAAAAAAGGGCCAGGTTTTTACAGGCCCTCATCCACTTCTCCACGTTGGTTGGCACCATCACACTGCAGCCTCCTGTCTGCTGGAGAACAGACCACAGCACAATTTCTGCCACAGTGAGTTCATGCCCAAGAAGCCAGGAGCTCTTCCCAAAAGCTGAATTCATGGAGCAGAACACAGTGGCTTCCCTCTTCTAGCTGAAAAATAGCTCTATCTACCCAGCTATCTATAAGGGTTAAACTTACAGCATTAGGCTTCTGGCCAAACAGAAAACAGAAAATGTGCATATTCCCTTCTCCTTCAACGGGATACATCATTTGGATACTGAACTTCATCTGAGTCTTTAGCACATTCTTCCAAATTAAGAGTAAAACCCAGCACTTAAGAAGGTTTTCTGGCGTGCTCTTGACTACTGAATGTGTGTGAACAGTAGAGAGGACTCTAGTGGTCACAGAGCAGCCAGTGCAACACAAGCAGAGAGAGGGGAAGGGAGGGGTGGCTGGGTTTGTGTTGATCAAGATGTCTTTCAGTGCCCTGTAGTCTCTTCCGAACACTGAATTTAAGCCCAATGCATTGGTAGCTAAAGCAGTGGGTTCATCAGCTTGGATTATGTTGGTAATATCCAAATCCACATCTGGCATCTGAATCATCTTGGAGAGACCATCGACTGCAGCTTTCAATTCATACAGATACTTTAGAATATCACCTTGGTGGAAAAAATAAAGTATCTTGGCAGAACTCAAGAGGTTGAAGACTCTTCCTGCATCTAGCACGGGGCTGATGGTCCTGCCACGCACGCTGGGGAGCCAGTACGTGCATCTACACAGAGAGGTGAGACACACAATGACAGGGCTTTACTTGGTACCTCGGTATCATGGGACCATTAGAGGAACTCATTATTTTTGCAACTTTTCTGTAATTTTAAATTTATTTCAAAATAAAAAGTAAATGACTTCCCTGGCGGTCTTGTGTTTAAGATTCCATGCTTCCACTGCAGGTGGCACGGGTTTGCTCCCTGGTCAGGGAACCAAGATCCCACATGCCATGTGGTACAGCCAAAAACAAAACAAAAAAAGGTAAAAAACCTATAGTATCAGTCTTTGAAATACATGAATTGGACCCATCATATCTTCCATTTTCTCTGAATAAACTGGACTTCATTTGACTTAAAAAGAAGAGATCCATTTTAGTTTAATTGTATTTTTGAGAAAGTGTATTTATTCTTCCCTAGTGAAAATGCAGCCTGAGGGAAAAAAAGATCAGGTAGATACTAAGGTTTTGCTATGGCTTTTAAAGACTTCTGTTCCCCAGTCTGAGAGAAGGTTGGGGGAAAAACTGAACCAATATATGACTGACAATCCTTCCCTGGGTGGCACCTTGAAATTCTAACTTGTCCCAATTCTGGTGGTTGTGATTTAGAAAACATTTCTTTGGAGCCAGGGGCTCAACTCCATTTTAAGGGATTTTTTTTTTTCCCTGAGCATCAGAAGAACTCCATGAGCTAACAGGGCTTGTAGTTCTCTTTCTGGTTTTGGCATATTTATAGCAGAAGATTTGGCCAGGGATGTGTTGAGTGTGGATGAGTAGGTGGCTAAAGCTACATTTATAAAGCATTTATAACTGTTGTTTCTTAGCCAATTAGAGACAGCAGTGCGTGTGATTCTGGCTTCTCTCTCGTTTTGCAGCCTTAGAATATTTATTCCTCCAAATTCAATATTATTCTGATTCTGTTTTGAAAATAATAACAAACCATACAATTCAAAACTGCACAAAGGACTTGAACAGACATTTCTCCAGAGAAGACACACAAATGGCCAATGGCACATCATTCATTAATCATTAAGAAAATGCATATCAAAACAAAACAATGAGACACAACTTCACACCTACTAGGGTGGCTATAATTTTTTTTTTAATGGAAAATAAGGGTTTGTAAGGATGTGGAGAAATAGGAACATTGTTGGTAAGAATGTCAAATGGTACAGCCACTATGGAAAACAGTTTGACAGTTCCTCAGAAAAGTTAAACACAGAATTACCATATGATTCAGCACTTCTACTCCTATATACTCAGAAGAATTGGAAACAGAGACTCAGATAAATACTCACAGAAGCATTATTCACAATAGGCAAAAGGTGGAAACAACCCAAGTGTCCATTAACAGATGAACGGATAAACAAAATGTGGCATATATTTACACTGGAATAGTATTCAGCCATAAAAACAAATGAAGTTCTGACAAATGCTACAAGGTTGATGAACCTTGAAAACATTATCCTAAGTGAAATAAGCCAAACCCAAAAGGAGAAACGTTACATGATTCCACTTGTATGAAATATCTACAATAGGCAAATTTGTAGAGACAGAAAGTAGATTAGGGGGTACCAGGGGAGGTGAGAGGGAAATGGGGAGTTATTTAATGGGTATAGAGATTTTGTGATGAGGTAAAAGTTCTGGAAATAGATAATAGTAATGGTATATAGCACTGTGAATGTATTTAATGCCACTAAATTATACACTTAAAAATGGTAAATTCTGCTGTACAGCAGAAATGAACAAACATCGTAAATCAATTATACTTCAATTAAAAAAAAAAGACAAGGTGCGTCCACTTAAAAAAAAATGGTTAAATTTTATGTTATGTGGACTTCCTTGATGGTGCAGTGGTTAAGAATCCACCTGCCAATGCAGGGGACACGGGTTCGAGCCCTGGTCCGGGACGATTCCACATGCTGCGGAGCAACTAAGCCCGTGCGTCACCACTACTGAGCCTGCAATCTAGAGTCCGCGCACTACAACTACTGAAGCCTGTGCACCTAGAGCCCGTGCTCCGCAACAAGAGAAGCCACCGCAATGCGAAGCCTGCACAACGCAACAAAGAGTAGCCCCCGCTCACCTCAGCTAGAGAAAACCCGTGCACAGCAACGAAGACCCAATGCAGCCAAAAATAAATAAATAATTTTTAAAATGTTTATGTTATGTATATTTCACCACAATTAAAGATTTAAGGAAACAAAAGTCAATACCAATATGGATTGGTTTTTCTAAATCGAGGATCCCCCAAGTATAGGATGGTACAAACATGACTGAATTCATACTGCTTTGGAAAAGTTAAAAAACAGAACACAGGGGCTTCCCTGGTGGCACAGTGGTTTAGAATCCACTTGGCCAACACGGGGGACACAGGTTCGAGCGCTGGTCCTAGAGGATCCCACATGCCAGGGAGCAACTAAGCCCGTGCACCACAACTACTGAGCCTGCGCTCTAGAACCCTCGAGCCACAACTACTGAGCCTGCACTCTATAGCCCGTGAGCCACAACTACTGAAGCCCGCACGCCACAACTACTGAAGCCCATGCACCTAGAGCCCGTGCTCAGCAACAAGAGAAGCCACCACAATGAGAAGCCCACGCACTGCAACGAAGAGTAGCCCCTGCTTGCTGCAACTAGAGAAAGCCTGCGCACAGCAACAAAGACCCAATGCAACCAAAAATAAATAAATTAGATAAATAAATTTAAAAAAAACAAACAGAACACAGGGAATTCCCTGGCGGTCCAGTGGTTAGAACTTGGTGCTTTTACTTCAGTGGTCCGGGTTCAATTCCCGGTCAGGAAACTAAGATCCCGCAAGCCATGTGGCACAGCCAAAACAAAACAAAAAACAGAACACAAAAAACATAACTTACACATGAGGGGCAATCATAAAAATATATAAACATAGTGACAAAAATCAGATTTGAAAATCAAGTACCTTAAATTCTGGTATATATTCACGGGGTTCTAGTCTATAAAGTTAATTTACATTTTAAAACAGATTATTTTTCCTTTAAAAGTTAGGACCCTCCAGGCCCCAGTCCTTCTGTAGATTTCTTACCATCAATTCATCCCCCAGCACATACATACACAAGCTCCACAGAGCCTCCTCGCCAGCTGTCTCATCGCCTTAGCCTGGAAAGCATCCAATTCTTCCTCCTCTGGGACCAGATAAGTGCTGCCCCTTCTCTCCTAGACCATTCCAGCAAACAGGGAAACCTCCTTGACAACAGCATGCTCTTCACCAATGGGACTTAATGCTGTGAATTCTTCTCAGGTTTACCTATCAATGAATTCAATTTTCAAGATCTAAAGACCTTGCTGATGCTTTCAGCTTCAAATTTTGCTTAACAATGTGACTCTGCTGCTTTGAGACAACAGAGACCTACAATCACACCACGTGGCCACCAGAACAAGGAAAACTGAGCTGAGGGCCTACAAGCTGCTGCTGTCTCCAAACTGGCCAGTGACTGACCTTTGTACTCAGGGGTGAACTCCTTCATTTCGGGAGGGAGGGACTCGTAGAAGCGCTGCTCCCGGGAGATGAGGGGCTTGCACACAGTGTGGTCGTCGTAGCGCATCATGCTGCTGTGTCCGCCCACCTGGTGGATGAAGGGCTCCAGGAGGACTCCCCGGTCTCCGGCCCGACTTGCGTTCTTGCCATACTGCCCCACTTCCATGGTTTGACAAACACACATTGCGTTGGGGGCCAGTTGCACACTGAGAGCAGAGGATGCAGCACATGAGCCACGAAAGGAGAGCTAGGTAGAAGGTCCTGGCGAGCTGAAAACCAACGGTCAGAGTCTGTTCAGCTTATTCTTCTCTCCTAACAGAGGGAAGAGAAGAAAAGAGGGAATCAAAATACCAGGCAAGCCACAGTTTCCCTGGAGTTCACAGAATATCCACTCATGAGGAAAAACAGGGATTCTGTCTTGTTCCCTGCTATGTGTTCCCCAGTATGTACAACACTGCCTGATGCATGAGAGGTAGCTGAGTCAATTTTTGTTGAATGATGTAATTTTGGTCTCCTCCATCCGTCTTTTTATGCACAGAAGCCCATGTTCTCTTCCTTTCCTAGTTCTCAGATCCCTTCTAAGTTCTCTAAAGGATTTGATTTTAGAGCTACAGTATGTTATAGCCATCAGGAAGGCAACTATCCCTGTTCACTTCACATTCAATTAAGAGCTCAAGAAAAAAAACAGAAAGCAACACCAACTCACTGTTTGGATTTCTCACAATACTCAGTACTGGTAAGGGTCTCTCCCTGACTCAAAGGAAGGGTTTTTGCCTGAGAAATCAGGTCACTCTAGATTCCCAACTTTTCTGCTGAAGGTGCCAAGGACCAGACAGGGAAAGCCATTCCTTCCTGAGTTGCAGAAACATAAAAAGGTTTTGTTTTGGGACTTCCTTGGTGGTCCAGTGGGTAAGACTCCGTGCTCCCAATGCAGGGGGTCTGGGTTTGATCCCTGGCGGGGGAATCCCACATGCATGCCGCAACTAAGAGTTCACATGCCAGAACTAAGAAGACCACGTGCCGCAACTAAGATGTCTGCATGCCGCAACTAAGAGCCCTCATGCCACAACTAAAAGATCCTGCATGCCGCAACGAAAAAACATGCCGCAACGAAGATCCCACGTGCCACAAATACGACCTGGCGCAGCCAAAATAAATAAATATTTTTTAAAAATGTTTTGTTTTTCTGAAAGGAATTCAGGCTTCATATTTCTTCTACTTTAAATCTATGGCCATCAATTTATGACCATGTCTAGCACCACAGAGCTTCCCTTTCTGTTTGACTCTAGAGACAAAGAAAAGCTCTTTGTACTTAAATAACCTCCTTTTAATGTCAGTCTTCTCTCAAGAAAGTTAATATAGTGGGCAACTTAATAATGAATATATTTTAAAAACTAGGAATGTAGTAGGTAGCGGGGGTGCGGGAGGGAAGGATTGGAAGTTTGGGATAGCAGAGGCAAACTATCATATATAGAACAGATAAACAAGGTCTTATTGTACAGCACAGGGCACTATATTCAATATCCTGTGATAAACCATAATGGAAAAGAATATGAAAAAGAACATATATATATGTATAACTGAGTCACTTGGCTGTACATAAGAAATTAACACAACATTGTAAATAAACTATACTTCAGTAACATTTAAAAAAAATTAAAAAGGAATGTAGTAGGCAAGACAATATCTGAAAGATCAAGACTAAAAGAGAAAAAGAAAATATAGAACAGAAATATGCTTTTATCTGCAAGAGATAATAAACTATTTTTTTTCCTGAACCTCATAATTATGGGCAAAATGAGCTATACAAGAACACTGTTGCAAAACTGCAAAATTTTCTTAATCCAAAGCAGCCCAGGAAACTATGTTCTATTTCACCACTATCAACAAAAATAAATTATTCTCCATTCCCGCTCCCACAAACAGATCAGCACCACTTTAAGACTATTCATTTTTCAGTCCTCCTTCAGGATAAGGCAACTCCCTGCCCCAGGGAGTTTTCTGAGACTCCATTCTTTTGAAACAAGAGTTCGATGTACACCTCTGCGACTCCTACGGCACCCTGTGCCAACTCTAAAGCAGCAATAAATCACTGTACTGTCATCTGTTTTGTCATCTGTCACCACCACCAAACCATTCTCTCTTAACTCCATCTAGGATCCAAGGCATTTCCTGGCACACGGCAGTACTCAAAATGAGGTTTGTTAGAATGAATTAAAATAATTCCAGGAAGAGGACCACAGTGAGTAAAAGCACAACGATATGAAAATAAAATATGAAAGCACAGTGGCAGTGCTTAGGGCAGCAAGTGGGGGCAGGAAGCAATTGCGGAAGGCTTATCTCAGGGTTCCTAGAAGTGCCCACTGTGGCAGTGGACTCTAGTTAGCAATGTCAATCGGCTCCTGCCCTGGCTCCTCTTCACCCTGGGATTGCCTCTGACCACAGATGGGATACCAAGAAGGTGCCAGACTTTCTAGCCTGGGTCAGTGGGTATCTGGTTTAGGAGAGGGGTCAACAGTGCCAAGTGCCCCAGAAGAGTTGGACATTAGGGCCATTCCCTGGACTCTGAGAGATCTGTGGCATCCTCTGCAGCCCCCACAGGACTGAAAGGAAGAAGTTCAATCTCCAGTCAGATGCAGACTTTTGATATTTTGTTTCCCCTTGATATCTACATAAAATCATGGTACTGTTTTTGTGTTTGAAATATTTTCTTAGAAGTAAACATGTAAAATATACCACATTTCTATAGCTCTGATTTGGCATTTCTTTTTAAATAAACTGGGAACCTGAAAAAGTGGAAGTGCCCAGAACTCTCTCAACCTCTGTGAAGCCCTGGCCTACAAGGTGTGGAGACTTGTATGTCACTTGAAGGAAGAAACTTCATGTTTCCTCATGAAGACATGCCCACTGCCAACCCTGTGGGATATGCCGACGCAGGTGAAGGGCTTGGGCTTGACTCACCTACTGCCCAGCCTTGAAAGTTCTGGAAATAGCAAAAGCTCTGACTCTTTCTGATAAACAACCAGAGGTCGTTCCTGAAGTCTGGTGTCCACCAAGGCCTGCTGTAAAAACCGTGGACTGAGAGGGCTATGGATGATGGTGTCTGTCTCCACTACTCCTTTCCTAATAGAGTCCCAATCTTGTTCAGGCAGCCAAACCTCAAGGTTTCTCTAGAATGGAATGTGAAATTCCATTCTAGCTCAGGGAGAATCTTGAACAGTACCTCAGTTCTTACGAGCTTATTTAGGAAAAAGCATGTGACTCTCTTCTTCACAATGAGATGAGAAGTTGGCCAGGGATTCTCTGGGAAATGATACCTTGCTCTTAACAGGAGAGAGGGGTACCTCCTCTTCCTCAGGGTATTATTCTGTCTGCACGTGATGTCTGAGACTACTGCAGCCACCTTGTAACTCTAAAAGATACTTGCCTAAGACAAGGCCAACATGCTGAGCATACAGAACAGGAAATAAAAATCAGGGCCTATGATGCTGTCACTAAAGTACTGGATATCCTATTATGTAACAAAAATAAATTTCCCTTTATGCTTTAAGCCAGTCACATTAGGATGTTCTGTCACTTGCAGTCAAAACCATCATAAATGAAAGGACAGAAATAGTTACATCAAAATCCCCAGATCTCCAGTTAATACACTTTGCACATAAAGAGATCACTAACTGTTTTCTGATGACAACAAGGAAACTTCCAACAAATGAAGAACAAGCTCTTTCACTAATGACAAAGGGCATATTCTCCATAAGCCCCAAAATGAAAAATGTTGCTCTATAATCTTTAAAGTGTCCCTGAAGGCAGAGAATGTGAATTATGTCTGGTCCATAGCGCTGGTACCAAGATACTAAAAAAGAACCTGACCAACAGAAAATTCATTCTCTCATACGTAGAAATGAACCTGTCCAAATATCCAAATAATTAGTTTAGAACTGATTCTACTATGCTTCAACAGGAGGCAGACCATAAAAGAAATTTACACTCTTGCCACTTCAGGACCTTACTGCTCATTATTTTTTTTTTCACAAACGGATCTAAATACCATGTAGTCAATAAATCGTATTTCCTAGAGTGTAATTAATTCTCAAAGATTTTGCACTGCCCTCTGCAAATACACTGACCTGATTTCAAGTAGTTTACGCCATTCAAGATGTCAATAGCTTCTGCAGTCTTTTCTAGACTTAAAAAACTACTAGCATAAAGAAAAACTTGTGGGGACTTCCCTGGTGGTCCAGTGGTAAAGAATACGCCTTCCAACGCAGGGGACGTGGGTTCAACCCCTGGTTGGGGAACTAAGGCCCCACATGCTGCAGGGGAACTAAGCCCACGTACCACAACTACTGGGTTCGCGCACCTCAACCAGAGAGGCTGTGTGCAGCAAACTACAGAGCCCAGGCACTCTGAATCCCATGTGCCACAACTAGAGAGAGAAAACCCACACGTCACAACTAGAGAGGAGCCGATGCACCACAACTGGAGAGAAGCCCGCATGCTGCAACGAAAAGATCCCACATGCTGCAATAAGACCTGACGCAGCCAAAAAAATAAAGAAGGGACTTCCTTGGTGGGGCAGTGGTTAAGAATCCGCCGGCCAATGCAGGGGACACAGGTTCAAGCCGTGGTCCAGGAAGATCCCCCATGCCACAGAGCCACTAAGCCCGTGCGCCGCAACTCTGAGCCTGCGCTCTAGAGCCCACGAGCCACAACTACTGAGCCCGCGCACCTAGAGCCTGTGCTCCACGACAAGAGAAGCCAATGCAATGAAAAGCCTGTGCACCACAACAGAGTAGCCCCTGCTCGCCGCAACTAGAGAAAGTCTGCATGCAGCAACAAAGACCCAACACAGCCAAAAATAAATAAAAATTTAAAAAATTTTTCGAAATAAAGAATATATATAAAAATAAAAATATATAAAAAAAGAAAAACTTGTGAATTCTTTAAAAGCTACAAAGTATCAAAAATATCACATAACAGCAATCATGAGGGACTCTGGTTTCACTGCCATGGGTTTCACTGTTAGTTTTTTCTTTTTTCTTTTTCTTTTTTTTGCGGTACGCAGGCCTCTCACTGTTGTGGCCTCTCCCGTTGCAGAGCACAGGCTCCGGACGCGCAGGCCCAGCAGCCATGGCCCACGGGCCCAGCCGCTGCGTGGCATGTGGGATCTTCCCGGACCGGGGCACGAACCCGTGTCCCCTGCAATGGCAGGCGGACTCTCAACCACTGCACCACCAGGGAAGCCCTCACTGTTAGTTTTTAAACTAAAAACAAACCAAAAAAAAACCAACTCTGTACCAGAATATGTTTTT